CTCACACTGCCCGGATCCTGGCCACCGGTCCGGGGGGGCTCTGCATTTTAATTTAATTTTAAATGAAGCTTCTTAAACATTTTTAAAACCTTATTTACTTTACATACAACAATAGTTTAGTTATATATTATAGACTTATAGAAAGAGACCTTTTAAAAACCTTAAAATGTATTACTGGCACGCGAAACCTTAAATTAGAGTGAATAAATGAAGACTCAGCACACCCCTTCTGAAAGGTTGCCGACCCCTGGACTAGAGGAACACAGCTCTGCGCCACACCCCTCCGAAGCAAGAACTTCCTCACTCTCCTCCTACAGATAATTATCCTCAGAACCAGCCCGGTTCTTTGAGTCAATAGCACTGATAAGGACCCATTTGTTTGCTCAAAGTCTGCACAAACACTGTCCTGAGGGCTGCAGCTGTACAGATGCAATTTCCCCACTTCTCCTTTCACATGCTGAGAGCACGCAGCAATCAGCATGGATCTGTGAAGCCCATGGGAGCCATCAGCACCCAGCTGCAGGTAGCTCTCTCTTGACTGGTTGAAAGTCACTTCCCTGTTTTTCCTTGGAGCCCTACTCTTAGCACAACCCCTTGGCTCAGAAAGATGCACCTGGCAGGGAGGAGTTGCTCAGATTAGAAATCAACAACAAAGTTGTGAGCAGTCACAAAGGCTTGGCTTTCTCTGCTGGTGGGACCTTTGATCCAGCCCAGGTTCATGCCAGGTAGAGCCACACTATGTGGATACATGCCACCAACAGCCAGCACTCCATATCCCCTACCCCCCCAGCCCCAATAGGGCCTTGCTGCAAATGTAACCTCATGATTGGTTAGACATTAGGAAAAACTTCTTAACTGTCAGGGTGGTGAAGCACTGGAATAAATTGCCTAGGGAGGTTGTGGAATCTCCATCATTGGAGATTTTTAAGAGCAGGTTGGACAAACACCTGTCAGGGATGCTCTAGATAATACTTAGTCCTGCCATGAAGCAGGGGACTGGACTAGATGACCTCTCAAGGTCCCTGTCAGTCCTACGATTCTGTGATGGGAGCCTAGAATGGGGGCCACTCTTTGGAACAGATGCCAGCTTGCTGCCACCAGGGGGCAACAGAGAGCTGAATCTCTTCTCTCCTCAAGCCAATTGTACTGCCTCAGCAGGGACATGTGTTTCTTGCATACAATCACTGCGGTTTGCAGTCATTAACCCAGTGGTTCTCAACCAGGGGTATGCGTATCCCTGGGGTACATGAACTCATCTAGATATTAGCCTAGTTTTACAACAGGATACATAAAAAGCACTAGGGAAGTCAGGAAAAACTAATGTCATACAGATAATGACTTGTTTATATCGCTCTATGTACTATACACTGAAATATAGGTACAATATTTATATTCCAAGTGATTTATTTGATAATTATATGGTAAAAATGAGAAAGTCAGCAATTTTTCAGTAAGAGTGGCTGTGACACTTTTGTATTTTATGTCTGATTGTGTAAGCAAGTATTTTTTAAGTGAGGTGAAACTTAGGGTATGCAAGAGAAATCAGACTCCTGAAGGGGGTACAATAGTCTGGAAAGGTTAAGAGCCACTTCATTAACCCACCCATTAATTCACGGGGCTGGCTAGCCTAAGCTTGTGCAACTCACCGCTGAGATTTTGTGCTAGTTTAGTCGCTCATTATAACATTCCCTGTCCCTATGTAACCTTCCTCTCTGCATTTCCCTTAGGAATTCCCCATCTCCCTCTCACTGCAAGTTATCCCCATCTTTGGGCAAGAAGATTTCATCATAGAAAGAGGGGGATGCTGCAAAGCCCATTCTGCTCCAGAATCAGAGGAATGAAGGCTCCAGGGAAGCATGAGTTACCCTTTCCTCTCTGGGGAAGCTTGCAAGGAGTTTTAGAGCAGGAGGAGAGAGCATTTGAGCAAGACCACTTCTGGGTTTGCTGCTGCAAGTGATAAAAGTTTCTCTACTATAACGTGGACCTTGTGACCAGGTCTGCAGGATCCATGCTAGGCTGGATGTCCCAGGAGGAAGGCAGAGTTATCATTCTCAGTCTGCTGAGACATCTAAAAGGGGCCCTTTCCCTAGCCATAAACCTGGCAGCAATTCTCCAGGCCACCTCCGTGGGCTGGCGGAGCCAGTGAGGCTGTTGCAAAAGGGGCTGTAGGACAGGAGTAAGTCCCAACTAAGCACAGGAGAACCCCTACTCCTGACACAGACAGCTCCATCTCTGCAGGAGATGTGCTGGGGCAAACAAAAGGGAAGTGCAGGTGGCCAGAGAAAAGAGACGGCCAGGGTGGATTTGTGCCCTGTAGTTCTATGATCCTACAAAGAAAGCTGCATGGGGTATTGAAATAGTGGCACAAGTTGGGGCAGCCCCAGGTCCACATGACCTGCCCCCAAATCCTGTATAGGGGAGACACAAGCAGCCTCCCCTTTGAACCTGCACCAGCACAAGCAACAGCCATCGTGAGCACTAGGCGTTAGCCTGAAGAGACTCTAGTTTTATATGCAGGGAGTTCAATCCAAGGTACTTGACTAGCCTGTGCTGGGGGCAGGTTCTGTCTCAGACTAGCTCAATAAGCAAAGTAGGCCCTTCCAATGGGGTTTGGTATTAGGATTTGCAAATAATGATTGAGGGAGGGAAAGTCCAGAGGTAGTGATTTTCTTAGATGTCCCAGGAGCAAGTGTCTCAGTCATGAGGGCCCTGCAGCCATTGCTATCTTCTCAGCTACCCCAGCAACACTGAGGCTGTGTCTGCCCAGAGCTGAATGTGGCACTTGAAGTGGGTCAGAACCACAGCTGTGTCTCAGAACTGTCTCACACCCCACCTACGTGCCCACATGAAAATGGGTTTGTGGCCAGTCAGCTGGAGCAAACCCATCAAACGCTGGACTGTCGTGTCTGTGTGAGAGCACAAGCTAGGCCTGGAATCCAGAGAGGAGTCCTAGAATGCCCAACGAAAGGAGCTCAGACTAACGGAGAGTGGGCTTCCTACCGGTCCACTGAATTTCAACACTGCTTCGAGTAAGAGACAAGGAGCTCCATCCTGGCCAGATACCAAGGGGCTTCCTTAGCCAGGAGTGTCTGGAAGGAAGGACAGAAGATCCTGGCCTGGATTGTTATGCCCCTCAAAACAACTTGGCAGTTCCGCATTTGGCTCCCGCCTTGGTTAATGAAACAAAGAGGCTCTCTCCACAGTGAGGGGGTGGGGCCTCAAACTCACTCGGCAAACTCTCCTCGGTCCCAGACAAAGCGATGAACACGAAAGTCAAAAATCCTGGGGGCGTAAAGAAAAATAAATACGGGAAAGATCTGGTTTCCTGGCTGAGCCCACAGACGCCACATCGGAGCTGTTGGATCATATCCTGCCTTGGCTGGAGTTGGCACCGGAGAGAGGCTAACTCCTCTGGAGGCTGCTGGCACACAGCATGTGGCGAGCGCTCCCTTAGTGTGCAGGCAGGGAGGTGCCCATGTTCCAAGGCTTAAATCAGAGGACAAAGCCCTGGGAGAACTAGAGAGAGCTGCTCAGGAGGAGCATCATGTTTTAGGGAATCCTCCATAGCCCCTTGCTCTTCGACACTCCCATTAGGGGGGTGGACGATGCTCCCCTGCAGCTCGGCACCCCCACTGCTTCAGAGTTTCTTCCACCAGCACAGGACTCTCAGTCCCCCAGAGACACTCAGATCTCTCTTTTTGGGCAACTTGTCTCGCTCACCCAGGTCCACAACAGACAGGACCTTTCTACTCAGTAGAGGCATCTCTCTCGTCGCACCATATCTTCAGAGCTGCAGCGTGCAAAGGCACTCATGCTGGATCCACCTAATTTAAAGGAGTGAGGGCTGGGAGTTGAGCTTTCTTAGTGAGGGGTCCTCAGCTCTGAAATAGCTTGGATATTTGGATCTTCAGGGCATGCTGTGGAGTTCATCTATACTATATCTATGCCTCTAGCAACCCTGGGACATGTTGCAAGCTTCTGTGCTGGGTGGGGTTAGATCTGTGGGAGAGGGGATGGGGGGGGGGAAGCTGTGTATTTTCTGAAAGATTCAGCTCTCGGGTCTCGGTGTCAGGGGGAAGACAGTATACTGCTGGTTAATTTTAATTTTGCTACGTGTCAGGGCACCTAGATCTTGGATAGGGGCTACTTTTATTAATGTTATGGATAAGATTTTGTCATGGTAAAATTAGGCAAAATTCACTGATCAGCCATGGTAAAAATGTACAAAATCAGGGTATGATCACAGCAGCCAAAAATCTCTGCTGGGCTCGGAGACGTTGACACTGACTGACCTACAGGATGAATGGCCCGCTGAGGTGAGTCCGGAGGTGGAGGTGGTGCTCCCTCCCTGAGCCCCACTGCCTGGGGCTGAGACTGAAGTACTCACGGACATCTGTTAAAGTCATGGAATCCGTGACCTCCATGACCAAATCATGTCCATAATTATTGTGGAAACCCAGCAGGAGCAAAAACCCAAGCCACTGCCCTCTTGTCAACTGAGAGATAGCATTGCAATCATCCTCCCCTAGCCCCCAATGTCACCCTGGACCCTTCATTTTTTGGAAGTGAAAGATCCAGGAGCCATTTGAACACAAGGCAGAGTTTGCTTCTGGCAAAGTTAGCACTGGGAAATGATGCTGCAGGGCTGGTCCCACCCAGCTGCAGAACATGCACTTGTAAGAGGTCCCCACAGAGAGGTGGAAAGAGATTGTTTGGTAGCGCTTGCTTGGTTCCTGGTCCATCTTGCAGCATAGGAGAGCATTGCCCAGATACTATAGTTCTCTGAGGCAATGTTGTAACCTTCACCTCTCTCAGATGGAGTAGGATCTTTACTGGGACTAGCCTATCCAGGTTCATGGAGATGGCAAGTCAGCACCCCAGAGTCACAAGGAAGGATCAGCTGAGGGGCATCTCCCCAGTCCCTGGATTCCTGCTGCTTTTCCTCTCCTGCTAGTGAATGGCCACCTTGCCTCATGGGTGGTACATAAGAAGACACTTACCTAGAAGGTGCTTCATGATGGCCTGGTTGTGCTCCCAGAGGTTGTTGAAGGTGCCCCAGCGTGAGTGGCCATCGGGCATGGGGTTTCCCTTCATCCACCCACCACAGGCATATTTGAAGAAATCCTCGCAGGGGCTCACTGACTGGTCCAGAGAGCTCAGGATGGAGCTGGTCACGGAGATGCAGGCTTCCGTCAGACATGACTTGGATGGCCCTGGAAGGGAAGGGGCAGAACATCAGACCACAAGCCACTCTGGAGGCATCCGAACAGTTTGGCCTGGTGCCTTGGGTTGAAAACAGAGTTCGCTGGGAAGGCTTCAGCATCAAGGTGGGTCAGAGTCTGAGACAAACCCAATGGACAAGACACTTCCGGTATCTGGGCACATGTACAATTGGACCTTTCGGCTACTTCTCTTGGCAAGTGAGTCTCATTCCTCATTTCCTCCCTCCCTTAGTTAGGGTCTCAGATCCCCTAAAAAAAGGGTGTTGGGGCTCCCAAACTATCTTACAGCAGCTCACTGCAGGGGCAAGCAATGCAGGATGACAGGGCTTAAAGTCACTCCTATTTTACCATGGTGCCACTTCCTACCAATGCCAGGGACAATCTGGCTGACTAGAGCTAGGGGAATGTTGCCCTTTAAATTCAGATGCGGTGGGAGGGGAAAGGGGGAGGAGTTCACAAGTTCTTTACACATCTTGAACTAGGTATGCAAAGCAACCTTTAGTTCCCTCTGCCCCACCCAGAGGAGTGCAGTGCTGGTCAAAGAGTTGCCTGATGCCCCAGAGAATGGAATCCTCCTTCCAGCCACATTTGTCAGCATCTCTCAGCCCTGCCCCAGAAAGGCCCTTGCTGCAGGGGAAGGTGGTTTTGCCTTCATCCCCATTTCAAACCCGAGGTCTCTGAGTCTTATAGCAAGGATGCTGATTGTTGCAATGGATTTTGTGATCTGACCTGCCCATGAGGAGCTCAGCTGTTACCCCGGCTCACTTCCATAGCAGCTGCCATCAGTGCTCTCCACACAGTCACCCTACAGCTACCATACATAGATCCCATGCAAATGAAGGACTTACTATCTCTGTACTGGAATCCCAGGGCTAAGACACAGGCCAAGAGGCTGAGTGCCAGAACCACGATCAGGACCAAGAGACGCTTCTCAATGTGAGTGCGTTCTGTCCAGCAACTCCTGCTGTTCCCAGAGCCACGGAAATTTACCTAGGGAGGGAAAAGGAAGAATCAGTCCAATTACTCTCCCACACCGATGACAGGAATGTCTGCACCTTCCCACTAGGTCAATATCCCTTGAACTGGGGCTACGAAGAAAAACATCCCCCCCCCATCACATTTTTCTGTTTCTATAGACTTTTTTAAGTGACACTGTTCAGATCCTGTCCCTCCCCTCCTCCCGTCCCCCCAGCAGACGTGCCAGTGATGGAAGGTAACTGGGGTAGTTTATTTAAAATGGTCTGAAAACTTGTCACTTATTTCTCATGCAACAGGAGCTGTGCTACATGAAGACAGTGCTGCAGAGAGATTGCTATGAACAAGTCACTCGCAGATTGGCAAAGCTCCAGATTCTTTGGGGAGGGTTGACAGAAGGAGGGGGAAGAGCCCATGTAAAGCTTGTGAACTGGAAAGAACTCTGCACTAACCAGAAATCCTAACAGGAAGGGAGGCACAATCAGAGGAAATGCACCCAGAACACTGGAAATTGGAATATTTCAGACCTTGGCAAGTCTAGAGCCATCATCACCTGTTCCCAGTCAGACGTGTTTGGGTAGTTTTCATCAGTCGGGTGAAGAGGAGTTTCCAGGAGCTTTGCTGGCACTTGGAAACTTCAGCCCAGCTCTCTTGCCCAACAGGTGCTCCAAGCCAGAGATGGATGCACTTGTGTGTTTTAAGCAACAGAGAGTCCTGTGGCACTACTAATACTTGTGTGTTTTGTTACCTCCATGCTGTTACCTAAACATTTTCATTTGACTGGAAGTCAGATAAAGGAAAGACTGGAGAATAGGATGCACAGGATGGCTTTGCTGGTTCATGAGTAACTGATTAGGCAAATCCCTTTACTTCAATGCAATGGAAGGCTTTATCCTAATGTGGGCCACAGAAGAATATAAGGACAGGGTATTATGGTGCTGCAGCACTGAATAAAAAATCCTGGAGCCCAGAGATGGAAGAGATGTATTAGGGCATCAGTGTTCCCAGGCAGTATTGTTTCCTATAGTACTTCTGTTGTCACCCTGAGTCCAGGCGGAAGGTTGATCTAGTGGCCTGGCGCTCAAGACATGGGTTCAATTCCTGCTGCTTAACATGTTTGCAAAAAATATCCAGAGTGAGTAAATCCAGGGTCTTGATTTCACAGCAATGCAAACTATTTCCATGTAGCCTGCCCGGGACTGAGCTCTGCTGGTGGGTCTGGGGATAGTGCCATAGGGATCACTACAGCTATGCTAACACACCAGCTGAGGAGCTGACCCACCGAGCTTAACTGTGGAACAGATGTTTTTTTAAAATACCGTGTTGGTTTTCTTGACAGTACCACCTATCCCAGAGGGGAAGGAGAATCCAGCGATTAGAGTGCTGGCCATGGGGGGCCCAGGTTTAACTCCCTGTTTTGTCACAGGCTTCCTGTGTCACCTTGGCTAAATCATTTAGGGCATGTCTACACTGCATGCAAAAGTGACCTCTTAACTCAGGCCTGGTCTACACTGGGGGGGGAGGGGGAGGAGAGATCGACCTAAGATACACAACTTCAGCTACGAGAATAGCATAGCTGAAGTCGACGTATTTTTTAGGTCGACTTACCTCGCGTCCTCATGGCGCGGGGTCGACTACCGCTGCTCCCCCGTCAACTCCGCTTCCGCCTCTGCCGCGGTGGAGTACAGGAGTTGACGGCAGAGCAATCAGGGATCGATTTATCGCATCTACACTAGATGCGATAAATCGATCCCTGATAGATTGATCACTACCCGCCGATCCGGCAGGTAGTGTAGTCATACCCTCAGATTAGCTAACGGGTTAAAATAGCAGTGAAGACACACTAACTTGGCAGCCGGAGTTCGATCTCAGGCTGCCCTATAGGTTTTAACTTGAGCTGCTAACACAAATTAAAAGCAGAGATGCTGCATCTTCACTGCTATTTTAACCTGAGCTGGCTAACCTGAGTTAATAACATACCTTTTTTTTGGTGTAGACATGCCCGTAGTCTCTCTGTGCCTCAGTTTCCCATCTGTACAATGGGGATAATAGCCCTACCCACACAGGTGTGGGAGGATAAATAAAAGGTGGCGAGATGCACAGATGCTGTGGTAACAAGAGGCCATAGAGGTATCTAAAAGGTACTGAGAGTAATTGTCTAGTGCTGTCATTTCCTATGCATGACTGTGTTGGGGGTAATATAGGCTTATTCTTTGGGGCTCCCCTTGAATTGGCCACCCCTCAACCAGCCACACCAGTGAGGCTCTGGTCCATCTGCTCCTAAAGCCCAGTTTCAGATGGTTTGTCTCTTTAAGGGTAGCTGCTGCCTCTCCTTCAGCAGCTGAGAACTGCCACACCTGCACAACTCTGGCCCAGCTGCCCAACTTGGGTGTGGGAAATATGCTCCTCTAAATCCCTGCCTCCCTATGCCAGCAGCCACTATGCTAGCTGGACACCCCTCCAGACAGTTTGGGGTGGGAAGCACCTAGGGCAGCGAAATACTGTTTAGTGGGCTTAACATTTGCCCTGCCCTGCAACATCTGCCCAAGGTGGCAACTCTGGCAGCACCCTCCAGCTGCAGAAACCATCATAGAAGATTAGGGTTGGAAAAGACCTCGGGAGGTCATCTAGTCCAATCCCCTGCTCAAAGCAGGACCAACACCAACTAAATCATCCCAGCCGGGGTTTGCCAAGCTGGGCCTTAAAAACCTCTAAGGAAGGAGATTCCACCACCTCCCTAGGTAACCCATTCCAGTGCTTCACCACACTCCTAGTGAAATAGTGTTTCCTAATATCCAACCTAGACCTCCCTCACTGCAACTTGAGACCATTGCTTCTTGTTCTGTCATCTGCCACCACTGAGAACAGCCGAGCTCCATCCTCTTTGGAACCCCCCTTCAGATAGTTGAAGGCTGCTATCAAATCAGCCTCACTCTTCTTTTCTGCAGACTAAATAACCCCAGTTCCCTCAGCCTCTCCTCGTAAGTCATGTGCCCCAGCCCCCTAATCATTTTCGTTGCCCTCCACTGGACTCTCCAATTTAACCACATTCCTTCTGTAGTGGGGGGACCAAAACTGGATGCAATACTCCAGGTGTGGCCTCACCAGTGTCGAATAGGGGGGGAATAATCACTTCTCTCGATCTGCTGGCAGTGCTCCTACTAATACAGCCCAATATGCCGTTGGCTTCTTGGCAACAAGGGCACACTGCTGACTCATATCCAGCTTCTTGTCCACTGTAATCCCCAGGTCCTTTTCTGCAGAATTGCCGCTTAGCCAGTTGGTCCCCAGCCTGTAGCATTTCATGGGATTCTTCCTTCCTAAATGCAGGACTCTGCACTTGTCCTTGTTGAACCTCATCAGATTTCTTTTGACCCAATCCTCCAATTTGTCTAGGTCACTCTGGACCCTATCCCTACCCTCCAGCATATCTACCTCTCCCCCCAGTTTAGTGTCATCTGCGAACTTGCTGAGGGTGCAATTAATCCCATCATCCAGATCATGAATAAAGATGTTGAACAAAACCGGCCCCAGGACCGACCTCTGGGGCACTCCACTTGATACCAGCTGCCAACTAGACATCGAGCCATTGATCACTACTCATTGAGCCCAACAATCTAGCCAGCTTTCTATCCACCTTATAGTCCATTCATCCAATCCATACTTTTTTAACTTGCTGGCAAGAATACTGTGGGAGACCGTATCAAAAGCTTTGCTAAAGTCAAGATATATCACATCCACCGCTTTCCCCATATCCACAGAGCCGGTTATCTCATCATAGAAGGCAATCAGGTAGGTCAGGCATGACTTGCCCTTGGTGAATCCATGTTGACTGTTCCTGATCACCTTCCTCTCCTCCAAGTGCTTCAAAATGGATTCCTTGAGGACCTGCTCCATGATTTTGCCAGGGACTGAAGTGAGGCCTGTAGTTCCCCAGGTTCTCTTTCTTCCTTTTTTTAAATATGAGCACTATATTTGCCTTTTTCCAATCGTCCGGAGGCAACAGGAAATAGAGGTGAGGCAGCAGCTGCTCTGACACAAAGAGGACCCGTCTCCTTTGGTCTTTGAAGGAGCAGTGTTTGCAAGACCTGAGGACTGCAGCCAAGCTGGAAGCAAAGGAGCTTTCCCTGGGGAAGGGAAGGCTGAGTCTTCAGTGTTTAAGGCCAGAAGGAACTACCAGATCATCTAGTCTGACCTCCTGCATATCACCCCCCAGCCACCTTACACCAAGCCCAACCACCGGAATCAGACCCACGTATTACAGCCCTGCAGACTGCAGGCCACCCGAACACATGGCTCTCCTTGGGCTTGTCTTGCTGAATCAAGTCTGTTGACCACTCAGTGAGTCTGAGACAGACTCTCCTGGCCCTCCGGAGGAAAGGCAAGGCCTTGATATAAACGGAGGGAGGGGAGCAGGCAGGGGAGAAGAGGAGAATGACATTCCCTTGGAACTGACCCAGTCCATGTTGGACTCAACCCAGTCCATGTTGGACTCAAAGCAACAAGGCTGTTGATGGTGTTACCGAAATATTGGGTTCACCTAGCTGAGAGCCAATAACAGCCAGACAGGGATAAGGAGGAGTTGCTTTATTTTGCAGAAGAAAGGAGAGCTTTTTTAGTAGGGAGATTTATTGCCAAGTTGTGTTTGCTCCAGCTATGGCCAACTGGCTCCTGACCAATGGGACCCTTGCTTTAGCACTAGACTAAGTGACAACACACTGCATTTGTGAGAGCAACAATGGGTTACAGACTACGCTTCCCATCCCCCAAGCTGGGTCTGAAGTCACTGTCCTAAGCAAGGCATGGAAATGACAGAGCTCAGTCCTAGCGGACTACATCCTGTGAGGCAACCTCACGGGTTTGCTAACACATGTGAAAGTGAAATGAATTATATTAAAGAAATAGAATGAATTAAAGAATGCTGTATGTGCCTTTAAGTAGAAATGAGAAATGCTGTGATCCAGGTGTCAGGAAAGCAGACATTAAGATAGAACAGGGGTAGGCAACCTGTGGCA